TTGCACTCCGCACTTCAACTGCAGGGGGTGCGGGTTCGATCCCTGGTTGGGGAAGTAAGATACTGCATGCTGTGCAGCATGGCCGGGGTGGGGGGAAAAATATGCTAAACTTGAACTCTTTACTTTCCCTCCCAAACCTGTTCCTCCCATAATTGTCTTCATCTCAGTAAATGACACTTCCATTAACCAAGTTGCTCAGGCTAAAAATCTAGGAGTCATCCTTGACTCTTCTCTCTCAAAATCCACACCCAATCTTTTAGCAAATCCAATAATTTCTAATCCAGTTACCGAACCCCCCCTTTCCCCACCCCACTGCTACCCTGGGGTGAGAAGGGAAGGACAATGAGACAACCAGGAAGTGTGATGTGGTAGATGCCCAGGGACGGATATGTTTCAAGAGATTGGTCAAAAAGGAAATGCTGCTAAAAGGTCAAGTACAAGCAGTGGTCATTGCAATGATTTGGCAAGAGTCTTTGATGACTCATTGATCTTCTGGAATTTACTTGGCCTATGGGGTGAGGTGAGACCAAAATACCCTTTTTCCCCCTAAATTGCAAACTGAATTTTGTAACAATTCTTGACCAGGCCTCATTTCTCTATCCATCTCTGAGACTCCCTTTATTCCCCCCAGAGAGTCTCAAAACTGTAAAAGCAGGTCCATGCGGGCTGCCTGAGAGGGCTCTGGCACTCACCTTACTCTCCTCACTCAATATTTGATATACACTTCAGCTTATTCTTCTAGATATTTTTTCTTTTATTTTAATTTTAGTTTTTAAATTGTGCTAACATATACATAACATTTAGCACCTTAACCATTATTACATCTTAACATTATACAGTTCGGTGGTATTAATTACATTCAAAATGTTGTGCAGGGAATTCCCTGGCAGTCCAGTGGTTAGGACTCAGCACTTTCACTGCTGGGGCCCAGGTTCAATCCCTGGCCAGGGAACTAAGATCCCGCAAGCCTCATAGTGCAGCCAAAAAAAAAAAAAAAAAAAAGTTGTGCAACCATTATCACTATCTAGTCTACTTTCAAAACTTTTTCCTCATCTCAAACAGAAATTCTATATCCATTAAGCAATAACTCGCCATTTCCCCCTTCCTCAAATCTCTGACAACCTCTATTCTACTTTCTGTCTCTATGAACTTGACTGTTCTAGGTACCTCATATAACTGGGATCATAGAGTTTTGTTGTTAAAAAAATAAAAGGCCCAAAATAGAGTCGCTTATGCTAAGCCCCATGCCACCAAACCAAGTCTTAATTTTAGTTGGGCTCTCCCAGAAATGGAATCTTAAACCAGTCAGTCAGGAATCTTCTGATCAACACTATTTGATCAGGTCATCTGCCTGTTATACTGTGACATGCCCTAAAGGGAAGTAACTTTGCAATAACCAACCTGCTTTTTCTGCCTACGATAGTATCCTTGTTCCCACTCCCTTTTGCCTATCAAAATCTTTCTTTCTTTTTTTTTTTTTTCGGTACGCGGGCCTCTCACTGCTGTGGCCTCTCCGTTGTGGAGCACAGGCTCTGGACATGCAGGCTCAGCGGCCATGGCTCACGGGCCTAGCCGCTCCGCAGCATGTGAGGTCTTCCCGGACCGGGGCACGAACCCATGTCCCCTTCATTGGCAGGCGGACTCTCAACCACTGAGCCACCAGGAAAGCCCAAAAGCTTTCATTTTTGTTCAGCACCTTGGCGTTCTTTTCTACCTGCTAGATTGGATGTGCCTGATTTGAATCAATTTTTGCTCAAATAACTTAAAATTTTTAAACATGCCTCAGTTTATCTTTCAACATTGTCCTTTTATCGTTGGTTTATTTCACTTAGCATGATGTTTATCTATTTATCTGTTGGTGGACATGGGCTGTTTCTACCTTTTGGCTATTGTGAATAATGCTACGACGAACACTCACTGGCATACAAGCATCTGTTTGAGATGCTGCTTTCAATTATTTTGGTATTTACCTAGAAGGGGAATTGCTGGCTCATATGGTAATTATATTTTTAGCTTTTTGAGGAACCACCAAGCAGTTTTCTGTAGTGGTTGTACCATTTTACATTCCTGCCAGCAATGCAAAAGTGTTCTAATTTCTCTACATTCCCACCAATATTTGTTATTCTCCAATAGCCATCCTAATGGGGGTGACATGATATCTCGTGGTTTTGATTTGTATTTCCATAATGACTAGTGATGTTAAGCATCTTTTCATGTGGTTATTGGCCATTTGTATATCTTCTTTAGACAATGTCTATTCAAGCCCTTTGCCCATTTTTGAATTTGTTTGTTTTTTTGTTGTTGAGTTGTAGGAATTCTTTAGGTATTCTGGATATTAGTCCCTCCTCAGATATATGATTTGCAAATATTTTCTTCCATTTTGTGAGCTGTCTTTTTACTCTCTTAATAGTGTTCTATGATGCACAAATTTTTTATTTTGATGAAGTACAATTTATCTATTTTTTCTTTTGTTACCTGTTCTTTTAATGTCATACTTAAGAAATCATTGCCTTCTCCAAGATTATGAAGATTTCCATCTATGTTTTCTTCTAAAAGTTTTATAGTTTTAACTTTTAAATTTAAATCTTTGATCTTTTTACTTAATTTTGTATATGATGTAAGGTAAGGGTCCAACTTCATTCTTTTGCATGTGGATATTCAGTTTTCTCAGCACCATTTTTTGAAAAGACTATCTTTTCCCCATTAAATGGTCTCTGCACTCTTGTTGAAAATCAACTGAATATATATGTGAAGGTTTATTTCTGGGCTTTCTATTCTATTTCATTGGTCTGTATGTCTATTCCTATGCCAGCACCACACTGTTTTGATTACAGTGCCTTTGTAGTACATTTTGGAAATCAGAAAGTTTGAGTCCTCCAACTTTGTTCTTCTTTTCCAAGATCGTTTTGGCTATTCAGGGTCCCTTGAGATTCCATATAAATTTTAGGATGGGTTTTTCTATTTCTCTTATAAAACACCATTGGGATTTTCACTGGGATTACACTGAATTTGTAGACCACTTTGGGTAGTATTGCCATTTTAACAGTATTAAGTCCTCCAATCAAAGAACATGGAATGTCTTTCTATTTACTTAGGTCTTTTAAAATTTCTTTCAGCAATGTTTTTCAGCAAGAAGAAATCAGGTGGCACCTTCAGCACTTCACTTGGAAATTTTTTCTGCTAAATATTAAAGTTCATCATTTACAAGTTCTGCTTTCCATCCAAATACGGGTTATGATTCCACTAAGCTTCCCACAACTATTTAACAAAGATTCCTTTTACTCCTGGTTTCCAATAACATGTTCCTAATTTTCTTCTGAGCCCTCAATGGCAGCATTCTTAATGTCCAAATTTCTGCTAACAGTTGTTTGAAGGTAGTTTTGGCTTTTTCTGTTATGCTCCCTGACATTCTTCCAGACTTTGCTCACTGCCCAATTCCAAAGCCATTTCCACATTTTTAGGATTTGTTACAGCAGTACCTCTCACTCTTGATACCAATACTTAGTAGTTTTCTATTGCTGCCATAACAAATCACCACAGACTTAATGGCTTAGAACAAAACAAATTTATTATCTCACAGCTCTGTAGACCCAAAATCCAACATGGATGTCATTGGGCTAAAATCAAGACATTAGCAGGGCTGTGTTCCTTTCTGGAGGTTCTAGGGGAGAATGTGCCCTTCGTCATTCAGTTTATTGGCAGAAGTTAGATCATAGTGGTTGAAGGACTGAGGTTTCTGTTTTCTTGCTGCCTATCACCCAAGGGTCATTCCCAGCTTCTAGAGGCCATCTGAATTCCTTGGATCTTTGGGTGGTGGAAGATCTCTTCTACCACCTTCAAAGCCAGCAGCAGAGGATTATTAGTACCTCTCACACTTTGAATCCAACCAACTCTCCTGCCCTCCTCTTCCACTTTTAAGGGCTCATGAAATTACACTGGGCCCACCAAAATAATCCAGAATAATCTTCCCATTTTAATGTCTTTAACTTAATTCCATCTGCAAAATCCTCTTTGCCATGGACTGTAAAATATTCACAGACTCCAAGGACATCTTGAGGGCCATTATCCTGCCTACCACAGCCTCCCTAGGAGACACCAACTCCTGTCTCTTCCCAGACTGCCCTCTCCTGTGTTCCAGAATTCCTTCTTTTCCTTGAAATCCTGACCATCTTATGGTTCATGGAAGAGGTCAAGGTCTCTTTCCCCACCTGGCCCTTGTATGTGCTTATCCTTCTGACTGGAGCACTCTCCCCCTCCTCTCATCACCCCACTCACCCTTCAGGTCCCAGCAGTCAGCCCACACCTGCCCTACTCCAACTGGCTCAGCACAACTCTCTGCAGAGGAATTGAGTTTTTGAGTCTGCTTCATCACCACCTCTACCCTCCCCTATTTGTGAGTGGGTGAGGGAGGAGCCTGTTCTGTTCATCAGCAGATCCTGATGCCTATGGTAGAAGGAAGGGAGGAAGCAGGTGAGGGCCCCTTTGGGGAGGTTCAGCCCTCATCCCACTTCCAGGGGCTTTACAGCAAGGGCCACTTAGGTGCCAAAGCATGTTTGAGATGTCACAAAGATGAAGGCAGCCAGGGCCCTCCCTCTACCCCCAGCCCCAGCTCAGGCCCCACAGGCTCAACCAGGAGCCCTAGCTCCTGACTCAGCCAGGTGGTCACCTCTGGGCTGCCCTCTCTGGACCACCCACATCTGCCCTGATGGCCAAGTCTTCTCCCACCACACTGGGGGCCCCTGAGGAGCCCCAGAGGAGCAGTTGTATTTATGAGTGGGATCCCTAGAGAGGAGGGGTCAGTTGGTGTGGGCAATGGAGCAGGGTGAGCCAGCCTGGGCCCCACCTGCCCAGCCATCGATGGGCACCGAGGCCTCGATGGGTGTGCTGGCTCTAAAAGTAGAAAAGGGGCACAGGGTCCAGACAGGCCTGGAGAGAATAAGACACACAGACCTGAGCCTGGCCCAGAGCCTCAGGCCATCCCCGCCCCAACAAGCCACCAGGCAAAGAGAGGAGTATGTTGGGTCACCCGCTCTGGGCAGGAGCCCCCTTTATTTGGGTTCGCTGCTGGGAGGCTAGACGCTGCAGATGGCCCTCAATATGGACCAGGAGGGCATCCAGCATATGCAGGACCCCAAGGAGTAGGGCACGGTCTGAGATCGGGGCCCGTCGTTTCCAGGGTGCACAGGGGTTAGCCGTCACCTGCGGATGCTGAGGATAGGACCAAAAGGCAGGAGTGAGAACAGAGGAACAGGACAGAGGTGTGGTGGGAAAGGGGACTTAGGGTGATGGAGGATCGTGGAGGGTCTGTTGTGGCCTAGTATGGTCATGGGGCCCATGGAGGCTGGATGAGGAATAGGGATATTAAAGAGGGAGGATGGGGCAGGGTACTACCCATGGGAAATGGCCAGGGACTGTTGGGTGTGGACAGATGTAGGGACGCTGGGGTGTGAGTGATGGGGCAGGGGCAGGGGGAGGGGTAGCAGGAGGCCCAGAAGACATGAGTGGGAGGATGGGTAGAGAATTATGAGCTCATTGGGTATGAACAGAAGTAGGAGGCTGTGGGTACAGAGCAGTGCCATGCTCACCTCACTCTTAGTGGCCTGTGAGCGCCGCCGTTGCATCACCGCACGGCTGAGCATCAGCATCATGGTAGTGGCGACGGTGACCCCAGCCACTGGGTAGATGCGGTTCACCCCCAGGGCCATCCAATGGCCAGGACACCCCAGGATGCCCTTGCAACCCTCCAGGCTGTTTGGCTGGCACCCCCAGGGCTGTAAGTCCAGCCCCACCTGGTACCACAGGGGCCGTGACCAGGTGTGGGTGCGGACAGGCATCGCTAGCAGAAGCAGCCATGGCAGGAAGGACTGTGCGTGCAGCATGACTGCTGCCAGTACTAGGGGCCGGAACCTGGGCGCCTGGCAACGGGCAAACACTCCTCCCCCAGGGGCAGGTGAGGCAGTAGGTTCCAGCTGGGCCCATGGCTTTCAGGAGGGGTGGCCTGGCCAGAAAATATGGGGCAGGGTGGGTGGGGCGGGATTCCAGGGCAGGGAGGAGGGCAGGCTTGGGGCCCAGGAATGAAAGAATGCCTCCTTCCCCCTCTCCCTCCTCCTCATCTAATATACATCTAATATGCTCTCCACCAGTGGCAGCACCAACCCCAGGCCAACCAAGCTAAGCACACACAGCTGCTCCCTGCTCCCCTATGCCCAGACTCAGCCCCGTGGTCCACATCGCAGCACAGTGAGCACTCAAAAATGTGGGTGCGCACTCTGAATAAAGCCTGAAGGCTCACCCTGGCCTGTGAGGTGCTCTGTGCTCTGGTCTCCCCTCCTGCCTCCTGTAGGCCTCCCTGGTGTTCCTTGAACACACCTGCTGTTCCCTACACTAGGAGCACTGTCCTAGAAAGAGAACTCTCACAGCTGCATTTCAGCTCAAGTGTCACCTGCTCCCTGAGTCTCCCTCCCATGACCATCCTGGGTAACACAGTCCCTTCTCTTTCACGTGACCCTGTTTTATTTATTTATTTGGCCGCATTGTGGCATGTGGGATCTTAGTTCCCCGACCAGGGATTGAATCCATGTGCCCTGCAATGGAAGCGCAGAGTCTTAACCACTGGACTGCCAGGGAATTCCTGACCCTGTTTCATTTTCTTCAAAGCATTTCCAAGTACAGGTATACCTTGGAGATACTGTGCTTTGGTTCTAGACCACCACAATAAAGCGAGTTGCACAAATTTTTCAGTTTCCCGGTGCATATAAAAGTTATGTTTACACTACACTGTAGTCTATTAAGCGTGCAGTAACGTTATGTCTAAAAAAAAGTACATACCTTAATTTAAAAAAACACTTTATTGCTAAAAATTGCTAACCATCATCTGAGCCTTCAGCGAGTCACAGTAGTAACATCAAAGATCACTGATCACAGATCCTCCTAACAAATAATAATGAAAAAGTTTGAAATACTTTGAGAATTACCACAATGTGACAGCGACATGCAGTGAGCAAATGATGTTGGAAAAATGGCACCAAAAGACTTGATTGACTCAGGGTTGCCATAAACTTTCAATTTGTAAAAAACACAGTATCGGTGAAGTGCAATAAAACAAGGTCTGCCTGTATCTGCAAGTTCACGTTTGAGGTTTACTTTCCACTCCAGTACATAGGGTCACTTAACCAGTATTTACCAAGCACTTCCTTGTGCCCGGCGCTGTTCCTGGTGTCTGGAGGCAGTGTGACAAAGGGCCCTGACTTCCTGGGCAAGGTTTTGGGGGTGGGGAAAGGACAGATGATTTGCGAACACAGAGCAGGGCAGTGACACAGGCCAGGATAGAAACAGCCAGGCAAGGGGTGCCTCTGTGACTTGCAGGGCAGGACAGCCTCTGTCCACTGGTCCAGCACAGAGCCCAGGACCTGGTCGGGACCTGCGAATGGCAGGCTCACTTGTTTCGGCAGGTGACGTGAGCCCAGCACTGTTGCAAGCTGTTTGTGGCATTTACTCATTTAATACTCATTGAGGAACCCATGAAGTGGGCACTATTACCATTTCTGCTCTCCTGATGAGGATACGGAGGCCTAGAAAGGTTCGACCCCCCAACCCTGGCCTCCAGTCACTCAGTATTAGCTGGCCTGAAGGCCCATTGCTGCCCACTGGGCCACATGCCCAGATGCTGGTGTTTTATGGTAGAAATCAACACGTGGTTCTTGGCTGACGGTGACCTGCAAAGCCCAGGTGATCTAATTATACAAATAAGCATTTTTCCCAAGTAAATCAATCATGCACATTCTTTCCTTTCTTTTCTTTTCTTTTTTTTTTTCTTCTGGTTGCACCATGCTGCTTGTGGGATCTTAGTTCCCCAACCAGGGATCGATCGAACCCTCACCCTTGACAGTGAAAGTGTTGAGTCCTAATCACTAGACTGCCAGGGAATTCCCATATTCTTACTTCTCAGTGCAGACCGGCAACACCTGTGAATACCCTGTGCTTCCTCAGCTGGTTGCTCAGGTGTTCACACCACACCCTCCAGGGGCTGCCCAGTAGCGCCAGGCCTGCCCTGCACCTCATCAGGGGTCCCTGAGAACAGGTCATTCCTGAGAAGCAGCTCTGATTACAGCTGAGGACACAGGTGCCGAGGGCTGTGCCTGGCTGGGGAGGAACTTGGACCTGGGACGCCCCCCTCCCTGGGCCTAGCCCCGAAGCTCTCCCTCCTGCTCCACACTCCCCCTGCCTGACCCTGCCCTCCCCGAACTTTCCCCCCAGCTTCCAACCCCAATTCCCATTTTGGGGCACAAGAAGGGTCAGGAGCCAGGGCTATGGACTATACCCTTGCCCCTGCCAAGGCCCCACCAAGCCACAGCAGAGCCTGGCATTGGGCAAACAAATCTTTATTCCTGAGGCTAAAAACATGCATGCTCCTCCAACTTGGCCAGTGCCTTATCCCAGGCCTAGAGCACTGAACTTGGAGTCCCAGAACCTCCATCCCTGAGTTATGTGCGTGCGTATGGAGGGGACTCCTGGGTGACATCTGGAGGCAGCCCAGGGGTAGGGGGTCCTCACGGGTAACCGGTCGCAACCTCCAGAGGTGGGCAGTCTCAGGCAGGGTGGCAGCACGGTCAGAGTTTGGTAACCTGGGCAGGGAGAGGAGGAGAGGCCCCTGTCAGTTTCTGAAGGACACGTACTACCCCCTCCCCTGGGAGCAGCTTCCTCTAAAGGCAGGAGGGGAAGGCAGTGGATCCACTGGGGGCAGAGCTAATCAGAGCCATCCAGGAAGGGTGGACTTCCTGGAAATGGGGTCAGGATGGGACAAGCAGTAGATAAACAAAAAGAGCTCAGCAACAGAGGTCAGCTCACCAAAACAGGGTTGACGGGGCTGGACCTTGGGTGTTGGAGTGCAAAGATGACAGCATCGTGGACAGAGGCAAAGAGATGCTGCTTGGTGATAGATGCATCGAAGAAGTGCCCCGCCTCAAGCTGCGTGACCACGGGAGCTGTAGGCAAGGAGTTGGTCTCCCCTGACCCGCAGAACCCCCAGGAACACCCAGGCACTGGCGGAATGTCACCCTGACCACCACCCCTGAGGCTTATAGCTAAACCCCAACTCTTGACCCTTGACCCCTCCCTCCCAGGACACCTCTGACCTCCAGTTTCAGAGAAAGACTTTTTCCTTGTGCTGCCTGGCAGATTCCTTGGCCAGAATCCCCACCCCCTCCCCGGACTGCTCTTGCTGTGTCCACCCCACGCACAGTGGCAGGCGGCCATGTACACCTCCACCTCGATCTCCCGGAAGTCACGGAAAATCTGCAGCAGAAAAGGGGGCCAGACTCAGAGGGAGGCTCAGGGGCTCCGAAGGGGGACTTGGGCAGGCTGGGGGGGAAGGGAGTTCAGAGGGGGAGCTCAGAGGGTTGGGGGTTAGGCTCAGAGGGCTCTTGGAGCTAGTTATGGGGTCAGGGCTGAAGGGCCTTGTCCTCCCCCAAGGCCCTTCTTAGGGGTGCCCCCAGCCCCTTACATTCTTCAGGCTCTTGAGACACACAGTGTCCACGAAGGAAAGGGAGCTCAGGTCCAGGATGAGGCTGTGGAAATCTGGCTGAGGCAGGCCCAGGGTCTTCAGTGAGGACATGTCTGGGGCCTTGGCATCTTCTTGACCCCTGGCTGCTGTATCCTCTAGCTCAGTCCCTGCGCTCACCTGCTGGGAAACCAGACACACTGCAAGGGCCGCCCACGGTGGGTGAAGGCAGGGAACATACACAGACGTGCAGAGACACACAGGATCAGACGTGTAAATGGCCACGTATATGGGGCATGCAGTGGACACATGAGGATATGGAGACAGGGAGCCTGTATGTAAAGACAGGAGAGACACATGGGGACACACAGGGGAGGGTGCCCAGACTCCGGGAGTACACACAGACACGCATCTACTGCTCTGTTACTTCCTGGGCCCATACTTAATAGGGACACTTAAGAAGGAAGGGCATCAGAGACCACACCCCATCCTCAGTCAGCCAGAGTGACTGACTGAGGATGGGGACAAACCAAAAGAGACACACGGACACACGCGCACACACAGATATCCTGGCACCCTGCCTGAGTCTTTTTTGTGGGGAGGGGGGCGCCGCACGGCATGTGAAACTTCCCTGACCAGGGATGGAACCCATGGCCCCTGCACTGGGAGCGTAGAGTCTTAACCACTGGCCTGCCAGGGAAGTCCTGCCTGAGACTCTAATTGAGATTCAGTCCCCTTTGATCCCAGATTTTTCCCACATGCCCAATCCCTTCCCTCTGCCCATGAATACAGACTGCAGGGTCTTGTAGAATTCACAAATTCAAGTTCTTTGGCTAGGCCTCAGATTACAGACCAGAGAGCCACAAGCAGAATTCTATGGCATATCACTAGAGATCTCCCTGTAGAGCATCTGATCCATCACTCCACTCCACACATGGGCACTCTCATCCCTGCAGCTCATGGTTGGCCCCTCTCCCACCTCCAGCCTCACCTTGGCCTTGGAGCCCTCCACATCGTTGCTCTCAATGTCTGTGACACTGGTGTTGACATTGATGGAAATGGAAGTGCCCTTGGAGGCGGCAGCCTAGGCCAGGAAAGAGGTGTCCCAGCTGTCATATGACAACCAGGCCACGCAGGCCTGGTGTCGTCCCCTGGTTGGGCAGGCAGGTGGACTAGGAGCTGAAGCTTGGGACCCAGGGCAGCCAGGCTGAAGGCTGTGGGGTTCTGACCTACTTTGGAAAGAGGACTGTGATGGTTAATGCCACCATTGGCTTAGGAGGCAGGAGAAAAACAAGACTGCCCGCAGAACCCTGACCTGCAGGGTCACTGGGTGCATCAGGGAGAGAGGAGGAGGGATGAAGAATGAGGGTGAGAAGCCAGGAGGCTGGGAGAAAGGCCGGGTGGGGTCAGAAGGGCCCCTGCCTGTTTCGGGAGCTTATTCTCTTTCTGAAGTCGCTTCAGCTTTAGCTCCTGCTTCCTGAGCAGTTTCTTCTTCTGGGAGATGAGGTGGTCCACGTTCACACCGCACTAGAGCAAAGGGCAGGGCAGGGGATGTGGACACTGGGGAGGTGAGAGACCCTCTGCCCCTCCCCCTGTGGACCCCAGGCCTCACCCTCTGCTTCAGCATGTCACTGTAGAGCTCAGCGTTGGCAAAGTACATGGTGGCCGAGGAGCGGAAGACCTTCACACCCGGGACCTCCCTGGCCTGGGGATAGGTCAGGTTGGGGGTGGCTGAGCCCTCGTCCCTCCTAGCTGCATCTTGCTCTCTTTCTTTCCTCCCCTGTGTACCCCGGTACCTGCCATCATCAACCCTCTGCTTCCCAGCCAACAGAGGCCCAGTCTGTAGGCCATGCCCTCCCAGGAGCTGGTGGGGTCATCCTGACCCCTCCTCTGGGCCTGTCAGAGCTGCTGCTTCTTCCTCCAGGGCATCCTGAACCTCTCCCACCCCATCTCCCCTGTCCTTCTGCCAATACCCAGGCCAGGTTTCAATGGCTCTTATCTTCCGCTTGGGTCTCCAACCCCAGCACTGGGGTCTGTTTTCTGTATGTGGACAGAGAGACCCTCCTCAACTGCCAGCCCAGCCAAGCCTTCCCCGGGTCCCACCCCGCTCAGGACACTCCAGGTCTCTGCTCGGCCTTTGGGCCTGAACAATGTCCCTGTGCCACCCCCCACCTCCCTTTCCATCCAGCTGAGCTTCTCCACTCATGTCCTTCCCTCACTCTGCCTCATCATACTATGCTCAGCCTTCAAGGCTCCATCAGGGAAAATGAGCTCATTTTATCCCAGAGCCCCCACTTTTGTTCCCAGGGCTTGACATGAGACTTCTCAGGAGGTAAAGGACGGAGATTCAGTAACCCCACTGATCAGGTCAGCAAAGAGTCTCCCCTACATCCTCGTGCCCCAGATCCTACCCCTCTACATTCCTGACCCAGGGCTACTCTGCAGGATGGGGCTTGTACTGCTGCCTCTAAGACAGACTCCTCCCCCAGGCCCTAAGGCCCATACTCTGAGTATGGGGGTCAGAGACCCAAATTCCTCCCTTGAAATTCCAAGGACCAAAGCACCCTTAGCGCCCCACCCCCGTGTCCTTGCCAAGTACGCAAGGACCTGATAAGGGATGGCCCCGTCTGCCTCTGTCCTACCCCATCCACGCCATCCTCTGGCTTAGCCCCTGCCACTCACTTCTGAGTACTCTGCCACATCTCTGTAAATATCTGTGTCTGGCACCTGCCCCAGGACAGCGTAGTGGGGCCTGTGAAAGAGAGAGTGTGAGAAGAGGGGGGCATTAAGAGAGGGGGCAATGAGGGGGTTCTAAGGAGCCTTGGGTCACCCCCCAAGATGTGGGAAAGCTGGGGGAAACCAATGTGGACCTCACTCCCTCACCAGCTGGAATGAGGGGGGAACCAAAGGGGTGACTCACAGCTGTGTGCGGACCACCACAAGCAGCAGGGAGAAGACTACCGCAACTGCCAGGCCAAGGTCCAGGTTCAGCAGGATGGTGGCCACAAAGGTCACCAGCCAGATAAGCTAAAAACAGAAGGGTAGTAGTCAACAGAGTCTAGAAGGGTCACTGGGGCTGAAGGCCCTGACCCCACCCCTGGGCTCCCAGGCCTCTCACCAGATCCACTCGATTTGCCTTCCAGAGGGAGCATATGTCGGTGAACTGCATCAACATGCCCTTCAGGTTCACAATGATGACAGCAGCCAGGACTGCCTGCGGGAGGGGGAGGGTCACCAGGAGCTACTGAGAGGTGCAGGATGCTGACAACCCTGACCACCTGGCATGAGCCAGACTGTCCTCAAGCACCTGGGTATGACCCCGAATGACACTAACAACCTCCTGCCCCCGAACCTAACAACTTGGGTCTGACTCTCAAAGGTTCTTACCCCTGACTGTCGACTCCAAATCTCAACCAGAGATCTCAAGCTTGAAAAACAGGGCATGACCCTGTATCCCTCCCCTTCACCCAGGCCCTGACTGACTGATCTGAGTCCCTGGCCTGGCCAAGGCCCTCAAGCCTCGCTGGGTACGGGATGGCAGCTCACCTTGGGCAGGTCTTGGAAGAGTTCTCCAAGTTTGACGATGATAATGAGGATGAAGAGGGAGGAGATGGCTCCAGCCACCTGTACAGTGGGAGTGAACGGGCAGATGAGTGGGCTGGAGCATAAGGGAGAAGAAGGTGAGAGCAGGGGGGAAGGGGGAGTAGGGGGGAGGGGGGAAAGCAGGGGGTAGGACCACCCAGGCAAAGCAGTGTGTGTGTAGATGCACACCTGCAGCCCACACCTGCAGCCCACCTGTGTGTTGCCCCCGGTGCTCTCCTGTACCAGGCTCCGAGACATAGAGCAGCTCACAGGGAAGCACTGAAAGATGCCGCCGATGAGGTTACTGAGGCCAAGTGCCACCAGCTCCTGAGGGGGGTAGTGCAGGTGTCAGGACACATCACTAGCAGTGCGTGGTCACTGTGTCCAGGCCTATGCATCCCCAACCTCCATCCGCACTCAGTAGCCCCCAAAGACTTGGCCACTGTCCCATGTGTCCTGCTCTCCCACCCTCAGTCCCCCATGTGGCCCCAGCACATCTGTTTGCTGTTTCCCTGTCTCCCACCTGATACTCCATCCCCCCAAGCCCTGGGGTCTCTGTACACCTGCCCGCTCCGTGTCCCACATCCCATTCCCCAGACCTGGTTGCTGTCCACCCGGTAGCCATGCCTCAGGGCGAAGATCTTCCCCAGCGAGATGGCAATGGCGAAACCAACCACAGCGATGGCGAAGGCATTTCCCACAAGCCTTGCGAACAGCTGGGGGCTGGGGGCCACTGGGGGCACCAGCCTGTGAGGGGCATCTGTGAGGCCAAAGGAATGTTGTGGCCCTGGCCACCCAACCCTCCCTGACCTGACAGGGGCCGGAGCTCACCCTGCAGGGATTTTGCCCACGACATCCACCCCAAATCTGTGCTGCAGTCCCACGCCGTAGGAGATGCCTGTGGCCCCGATGAGCTGCAGGGAGAGGACAGAGTCAGAGGAGGTAGGTGCTGGCACCACCATTAAGGGGGATGGAGAAATCACTTTGGGCGTAAAGAGAGAGGCCTGAAGCGAAACCTTCAGAGGGGTGGGCAGAAGTCAGCGATAGGGTAAAAGATGGACACCACCATTTTGGGGAAAGGGAGATGCTGTCAGGGGCTGTCGGCTGTGGTCCCCCCAGTCCTCAGTGCCCACGCCAACTAGTCTTTAACTATCTGGGGGACGCCCACACAGCAGGGACTCCTCACTTGCCCTTCCCCCTGCCCCCCTCCCCCCCACCAGAATTCAAACCGTGAGCAGCTCCCCGGGGAGCGGCATGGGCAGTTGTCGCCGCAGCTTGTCATTGAACAGCTTCACCAGCACGAGAACCACCCCTGCCACAACTGCGGTGACCATGGTGCCGACCACAGTCTGGGGCAGCTTCCAGCAGACCTCCAGTACTGTCTGAGGGGAGGGGGGGTCACAGCCAGCACTCAAGGTCCTGGGCCCACCCACCCTTCCCTCCTCCCACCCTCACTCACATAGATGAGGGACAGTGGCCCAGAGCGGCTGCTCAGATGGAGGCCAAACACATACTTGAGCTGCGAGACGAAGACCTGCACAGACGCGGCTGTGGTATAGGCTCGGACCAGAGGCTCTGACAGATAGGTGACCACGAAGCCGAAATGGACCAGGCCCAGCCCCACCTGTGGGGTACACAGGGCAGTCAGGGGAGGAGAGGGTCCTAGGGGTGGCCGGAGCAGAGCCCAGGGCAGGTGGGAGCAGAGGGGGATGAGTGATGATGATGAGGAAGATGGTGATGGCCAGACACTCAGGGGACCTGGCAAATGGGGTGAGGGGTGGGTCTGGCAGTCAGGGCCCTGTACTCCTGACTGCTCCGCACCTGGAAGAGGCCAACAAGGACACTGAGTGTGGAGGCCACCTGCACCCGAGCAGCATCTCTGGCCGCCACATCAACAGTGGAGTTCGAGGCCTGCAGGAAGGCTTCATCTGGAGCCAGTGATTCTGTCACACTGCCCACCATCACGGACATGACAGCAAAGGTGCCTGCAGGGGCAGATCAGGGTGGTCTGAAGGGGAGGGGGCACTGCCCTGCCCTGGAGTCCTGGTCTTAAGGGAGAGGCCAGGAGACACCCAGTTCTAGACCAATATCCTTAGACTTGCTGTGCAAATAGAGGCAGCGCTAGCAGTCAGGTATGAACTCTAAGTTCAAAGGCTCTTGAGCATGGCTAGAAATGTTGGCCCTGCATCATCTACCTTGTCCCACCAGTATCCACTGGCTCAGGACCACTCCCCCTGTGAAAAGTGGAATGGGGAAGGGGGCATGGCCTGCCTCAGGCTCTCAGGTCTGTGCCAAGTCTGGGCCCCTTGAGATGCTTCACCCACCCATATCCTCCTGGGCCAGGGCCTCTAGGTAACCTGAATCTGTCTCCACGGTCAGAGGCCCAGTCCTGCCTGGAATGACCCTTGGGCCAGTCTCCCACTGGCCCGGCGTCGATGCCTCCCTCCCTGTTCCCTGCGTTTCCTTGCCCTGCTCAGCCCTCCCTCACCCTGTCCTCCGTGGGGAATGTGGGCATCCTCCTGGCTCCACTCACCCACGGAGATGTGCCGGGAAGTGCCGAACAGGAAATAGATAAAGACAGGATAGAAGGAGCTGTAGAGGCCAAACACGGGGGGCAGTCCAGCCAGGAGGGCATAGGCCAGGCCTGGAGGTGGAATGGTAGCAATGTAGACTTGGAGGCCAGGGTCTTGAAAGGATGAGGAAATCCCAGCCCTGGGTCATGGGCCATAGTTCCAGGGGCAGGGATCTTGTTTCTGGCTTTTGGCGGAGGGGTGGGGGAAGGCGGGGGCAGGCAGTGGTTCACAGATTACAGGCCAGGGCCTTGAAGGGTCGGGGTTATCATCCAAGGGTTAAGGGTACAGTCTCCAGGTCAAGGGTGGCTCACCCTGTGGTAGCTGCATAATGGCCACACTCAGGCCAGACAACAAGTCACCCAGAAGCCAGTCACGCACAGGATACTGGGGTAGCCAGGCCAAAACTGGGAAGTACTGGAGCAGAAGGGCTCGGGCCCGAGCATGGGAGCACCTGGGGACACAAGGGTAGGTATCACAGACAGGGGCTACCTGAGTCCTGCCAGTGCCCCCAGTCCCCCCGACCTCAGCCTTACCGAAACCAGGTTCGCCATTGGAGGGTCCCAGTTGCTGAGCTCCGGTTCCCCAGCTCCTCCAGCTGTTCTTGGTTCAGCAGTGGCCGCTCCACATGGTAATCTCGCCTCCTCAGCTCCATTGCCTGCGTTGTGGACAGCAGTGCCTGTGTGTCCCTCTGTCTGGGTGGTGAGGCCAGAGACACAGTGAGGGCACTCCTGGCCCAACCTCCCCTAGACCTCCACCTGGGACCACAGAGTCACCCACCTGACTTTTCTAGGTCCCAAGATCTAGGTAGGTCCAACCCCCCAGCTGGCTCCTGCAGGCCCTATGCCCAGGCCCAGGCAGTACCTGAACTTTGGCTGGTGGAAGACTCTTGCTGGGCCAAAGTCTCCCACAAAGAGGCAGCAGGATGAACACAAGCCACACTTCAGTCCAGCCCTGAGTGTTCACCAATCTAGGTTCCAGGATGACTGTCCCTCCCAGCCCCCTCCCCCCAGCCCCAACTCTTCTCCAGCCAATCCCAGTCCAGTCTGAGTCCTTATCCAGCTGCCCCACGAGCCCAGCGCATGCTGTCTGAGAGCACACGCAAAGAAGGAATCCAGCAAAGCAGGCAAGTCTCTCTTCACATGAGAAGGCTCTATGAGAAGGAAAGTGTTGGGGCTAAGATTGCCCCCGGGCCTCCAGCCACAGGGTCCAGGTTGTAGACCTGGACAAGCTCAGGCCTAATCTGGGAAAGCCAGGGGATGGCTCTCACCGGGAGGGAGAGTTTTCCCCCTGGAAAGAGAAGCCCCCATTTCAAGGGGGGACAATCTCACCTGGGAATAGATCTCCAGGAGGATCTCGCCTAAGGAGAAGCTCTCACCTGACAGGAAAGTTTTCACCAGCTAGGTAAGTTCTGTCCTGGGGAGAAACTCTGATCTGCCCAGTGGCTACCACCTGATTAAGGGAAAAGGTCTCACTTGGGAATAGGAGATCTGGAGGGGAAGGGGGGACAGTTCTTACCTGGGGGAAGCTGTCCCAAAAATAGTTCTCACTTGGGAATAGGAGCTCTTGGAGGGGGAGCGCTTACCTGGGGGAAAGCTTTCACTAGCAGGGAAAGTTTTCACCTGCCAGGAAGGTTCTCGTCTGGAGAGTATTCTCACCTAAGGGAAGCTCTGACCTGGGGGAGGCTCCCACCTGTAATGGGAGAAAACTCTCACCTGGGAATGGATCTCAGAGGGGGTAATCTTACCTGGAGGGAAGCTCTCCCCTGCCGGGAAAGGCTTCACCTGTCAGGAAAGTTCTGATCTGTGAGAAGCTCTGACCTACGGTGAGGTTCCCACCCGAGGGGCAGGAGCTCACCTGGAAAGGGCCCCTAACCTGGATGTCCCCGTTGGAGGATGGAGTGGAGTGGGTGCAGGGACGATCCTCAGAGACTCTTGGCATTGCCGGCTCACAGAGATCTTTGAGCCCCGTGGCCCCTCCTCTGTGAGTCACTCGAGGTCTTTAAGGGCTCCCACTGCCGCCACCCCTCCCCCTCCCCCCGTCGAACCCGTGCTTGGAGGGAGGGGCTTAGATCCTTGACCCCTCCCTCTAGTAGGGCCCAGCGGCCAGAAGGGCCGGAGCGCACATTCCCGGACCAGTTGCATCCCTGGGTGGACCCAGGCCCCGGCTATGGACACTCTAGCAGCCACGTCCCGGGCCCCAACGCGCCGCACCGGCGCACCTCCTGGGCCGAGGCTCCTCTGCACACAGCCGCCGGGAGGCGGCCCCCGCTAGCCCTCGGACGGCGCTCGAGCGGCTTTCCGCACAGCCCGCAGGGGCTGGGGTCGCGCCGGCTCCCGCCCCATCCCTCGCTACGGTTGGGCAGCCGCCTGCAGAAAATCGACAAAGCGGTAAACCGAGGCGCGGCAGGCGGGAAATGCCTGCTCGGGACTCGGCGGTACCCCTTCCGAGCTAACCCAAGCCGGTCGCCTGCTCGGGGGCCAAGGGTGGCCCGCGCCTCGTGGACTCGAACACTGGGAACCGGGGCCGCGCCCTGCACTCACCCCGGTGCTTCCGACAGCCCCATGGCGGGTGGGCAAACCGAGAGGCGGTAGTCCTCACAGCTGGAGCGAGAGGCCGCTGCGGCCCGAAAGGCGGGGCCGGGACGGGGGCGAGGCCTGAGGCGCGCTCCCAGGGGCCAATCCCCGGGCAGGACGGGGAAGGCTTGGGCCAGTCAGCGTGCCGGGGCGGAGCCTAAGGGGCGGTCTCCCGGCGCTGAGAACCCTGAGGAGGGAGATTTAACCCCTTCCTCCCCGTGTGGCTTGGCTTGTGCTCCCCCTCGTGGCCCGCCTAGCTCTCCTGCCTGAGCCGGTTGTTATCGCAGAAGTGGGACTAAGGACCCGAGCTGGCCTGGCCGTAGCCACGGCCCCAGGTCCCTGAGTAGGGTGGGGCCGATACTACCAGGTCCCGGCTTCTTGCGGAGGGTCCCCGCGGGACGCGGAGCAGGATGTCTAGGGTTGTGGCTGGTGACCAGAGCCTTATCTCTCCGTGGGGTATCCGGGTCCATGGGGCCTCTCAAGCCTCCAATTGAGGGCGCCACCCTCACTCAGGCTTTCCCCCTGAGACCTGGCATGTCTCTGAGACCGAAGGGGCTCAAAGGCCTCCCTTCAACGCTAGGCACGCAGACCTTAAAGGCTGCGAGGTTCCCCTCCGCCGCACATAACACTGGTCCGGCAACAGGCCCGTTCTGCCTGAGTTCTTGAGGAAGCAGCTCCAAGTCTGAGAGGCTGGCGGGGGGTCAGTGCTGTCAACCGGCTGAGGGCAGTTCCTAGGGTCGGTTTGAAGGCCAAGGCAAATGCCAGGTCAGGGCTGCAGGCCTTGCGGACTGAGGAAGCCATCATGTTGCTGCCTTGACCAGGCCTTACTCTCAGCACCTGTTCTCATACTTCAGGCCCAACCTCAAGGCGAAGGGACAGAATTCAGGATGAAAGAGATAGAAACCTGGTCCAAATCTCCAATGAAATGAGCTAAAAATAGACGAATATTCTTGGGGAGGGGGGAGGGGGCAGTGCTCAGATTTCTCCCAAAGGTCAGCCCAGCCTGAATCATTCATAGCCACCCTCCTACCCCCCACCCCCAAACAGAATGAGGCAATAACCATTTTCTATAGAAGTTTATTCCCAAAACAGAGTGCGGCTTCACGGAACAATTTACACAGACAGGAAAAGGAGCCACTGGGCTGGAGGAGGGGGACGACCCCCAGAGAGGGGCATCTACAGAACCTAGGACATAGCAAGGACAGCCCCCTCTCCCCACAGCAGGCCCCTCAACCCTTCAAGGGCTGGGGTCACTCTGGGTAAGGAGAGCTGGGGTCCTGGCTGGCGGGATTTGGCACCAGTCAGTAAAGTGGAACTTTTAATCTCCTTGGAAACTGCCCCCCAAGAGTATGCATGAAGGAGGTGGGTGTCTGCAGGGACCCTCCACAACCCTGCATGGCCACTGTTCCTAGTGGGAAGAGGATGCCTACTCTCGAGGCCTTCTAGGCCTGCTGCTCAGCAGGAGACTCAGGGCTGACCTTTGGCCTGGGGCTAGGGCTAGGGGTTAGAAACCCCTCAAGATGGCCAGGCTCAGGGTCCTCACAGGTGGGTCCTCCAAGCCCCTCTCCCACTTTCTCTACCTTCACTTGTAAACGAAGGGAAAAAAACATTCTCAACTGTAAACAAAGTGTAAAAGTTCAAAGTTTTAAATTGTAAACAAAGTTGAATGTTTTAAGTCTTGACCTGTAAACAAAGTAACAAAATTTAAAAGTCCCCAGTTCTGGACATCAGACAAAGTAATAAAGGTGAGAGTTTGTGAACAGGGTCCTAACAGTCATTTTTCCCTTTACAAGGGAATAAGGGAGGGATGGAAGAGTCACTTCCTGCAGCCCGGGTGCCTAGGGCCAGGGAGGCTCCTGTAAACATGGGAGGCAGTGGCACCTACATTCTGAGTCTTTAATTCCCTTGTTTTTGCTCCCCTTGCTCCCCCTCCTACCCCACCCTTCAGAATAAATTCTAGCAGGGGGCAGTGTCAGGGAATTAAATGGCACCACACACAACTTTTGTTCACAGCAGGGGTAGGGGCTGTGACCCCTCCATCCACCCTCTGCAGGAATGTCTGAATAGAGGCCTGAGGCCTGAGCCCCTCCCCACGGGAGAAAGGGAAGCCTTGATCTGTAAACATGACATCTGCTGCTCCACCAGCGATCCACAGCATCAGTCCTGGGTCATAAGGCAGTAAGTGGCAGGGACTCCACATAATAAACACACACATTCACGGGGAGGGGCGGCATGAGCGAGCCCCAGTGAGGAGGTCAGAGGACCCCTGTTTCCAAGACCAACCCCCAGTCCCAAAATTTTGGCCTGTGGGACATCCAAGAAAAAGCAAAGACTAATTCTGCACTTTGGGCCCTGACAATATTCAGATCAACTGGGGAATGGGGCGGGGGGAGCATTTACCCCTCCTGTCTGAATCCACCCTAGTAAGATGAAAGAACAATTAAATTGCCAGGGACCCAAATGGGGCGAAACTCTGCACCTCTTTCCCTCTGTCCCCCTCCCCCTCCCAGCCCAGCCTCAGAACCCCGGGAGACAGAAAAGCTGAAAAATAACATAAGCATATCTCTCTGGTTACAAAGGTACAAAACGTATAAAAGTCCTCCCTTCAGCTCCCTCATTCCGTGCACCTGTTACGCACTTGCTCACATGCTCACAGACAGGCATGGACAGTCAGCACTGCAGCAACAGAGAGAGCTGGGGGGCGGGGGTATAGGAGGCTGCCATGGGGTCAGCCCCCAACTCCTGGAGTCTCTTCTGTTAGCCCAAATCCTCCACCGCCCTCGGCTGGTCCTCAGCTGCACGTCTGCCCCTCAGGAGTGACCCTCACTTCTGGGAACTCTGCAGAGATGAATGTGGAGATCGAAGGTGGTTGCTGAGAGTCAGGTGCCTCTGGACTCCCCCACCAAACCGGACCTGGGCCACCTCTCCCATCACCTTCGCCTCTCAGTCCCTAGCGTGCTTATGCCCATTCTGGGGTTCTCAGAGCCCTTCACCCATTGTGGACCCCCAGACTCACCAGCAAGGCCCCTTGGCTGGCCACCAATGTCTTTTCTCTAAGCACTTAGTGAGCACCTACTATGTAAAGACTCTGTTAAGCACCTAACAGATTTTGTCTCAAAAATCTCCACACCTCAAAGAGTTTGCTACCACAGACATACTTTGCAGATGAGGAAACTGAAGCTCAGAGAGGTCAAGTGTGAGTCCAGAGCCTGAACCCCTGCTCAGTTACCCCAGCCCTCCCCCAACAGTCGGACCCTAAGGCTGGGCTGCAGGAGGATCCAGGTGGTGCTCACAGCTCCCTCTCATCCCCACCTCAGCATCCTTCCAGAGCCCTGGGCACCAGGACCCCAAATCTCCTGCCCCTCTTTCCTTCCTGTCTTCTCCCCCATCTCTGCTCAGGTTTTTTGTTGGTCTCCTGCCCCAAACCCAGGGTCTCCTTCCCTCCACCTACAGAAAGCCTTCTCTCACCCTACAGACCTCCACAGAGACTGACCTAGCTGTTCCTCCTCCTTAAAACCCAACTCTGGGGGCTTCCCTGGTGGCGCAGTGGTTGGGAGTCTGCCTGCCGATGCAGGGGACACGGGTTCGTGCCCCGGTCCGGGAAGATCCCACATGCCGTGGAGCGGCTGGGCCCATGAGCCATGGCCGCTGAGCCTGCGCGTCTGGAGCCTGTGCTCCACAACGGGAGAGGCCACAACAGTGAGAGGCCCGCGTACCACAAAAAAAAAAAAAAAAAAACTCAACTCTGCTTTTGGCTTCCAAGACCTGGTAATTCCTGGCTCCTCCCCACTCCGTCTCTGACTCCGGTACCCAGCTGCTTCCCAGGTATGTCTGCCATCCCCTACTCTGAGATGCACCGGGTCCCAACTCAATTCCTGTGTGTCCTACCCCACAGTGCCCATAGGCAGGAGGAACTTAACATTGACTGAAGGCGTAGGTGAATGAATGATTTCCTCTCAAAGTAAGTTCTTCAGCCTGGCATGTAAGGCACCTACATCCTGGCACTACTTCTGGTCCCTCCTTATCCCATACTACACCCTAAGCAAAGACTCCTCGCCTCCCTGCCCCTTCCACATACCAGGCTACCTCCCGCTTCTAGGCCTTGGCTCCTGCCTTCCCCCCTCCACTAGCTCAAGCCCTTTGGAAGGCACCTCACTCTCCTCCTTAGTCCAGGAGGTGCAGGCCCCAGTCATACAGCCAGCAAGTTCTTGCTAATCACCCCATTCACTGCCAAGATTTCTGCCCTCAGGCTGTGGTACCCTGGCTGCGCAGCGCCTAGGGTAGCCCATGCTCTCTGCCAACCCCCCCCCATTCTGTGGCAGGATACAGAGCAGGGTGCGTGGGAAGTTGCCCTAAACTGATGGGGGTCTGAGCAGGTGGCCAGACCCTGCTTACTCTGAGTCGGGTGACAGCTCCGAGATGCTGTGGGATGTGGCAGAGCATGGCGTGGAGGGCCCAAGCGCAGAGGCTGTGGCAGAAGGTGTGGCAGCGGTGTGAGGGCCCGAGGGTGTGCTTGAGGACTGCACGGTGGCGGAGGAGAGAGCTGAGGAGTTGAAGGAGGCGAGGATGGAGGAGAGAATGTCCAGCTGTTCTGTGGAGGGGCCGTGGCTAGGGCCACTGGCTGGGTCTCCCCTAACTCTGAGCAGCTGCGGGGGTGGCCCAAGGCCTTCTCGCGAGGGGTGCCGGCTAGGCACGTGGTCCAGCCGCTCCCCTGAGTTCGAACTCTTGGACAGAGAGTCCAGGGGCCGGGACGGCAAGAGGGGGTCCCTTGAGAGTTGCCGCTGGGGAGACAGGGGCAGAGGTGGGGGCTGTGGGTCAAGGTCCCGGGCACCATGGGGCGGGGGCAATGTGCTCAACCACTCACAGGGCGCCCCTAGGTCCAGCGCATCCCGTGACCCAAAGCGGCCAGCCATGACACCAGGGTAGTCCCTGGGTGGCTGCCTCCGTGGTAGGGTGCTGCCCCGATCCCTGGGCTCCAGACGGCCTGGCACGGCATCCAGGCGTTCCTGGGAACCTGGCCGACTCAGGGGACGCAA